GCGTCGTCCATCGAGAGCGACTTTGTAAAAGCGGAGAAAGTGATAAAGAAAGGAAAGCGCGGTTGGCGGCGGTTCGAAGAGCAGCGTCGATTTGCCGGGTTATTACGCTCGAGTCAGCTCTAGAGGCACTAGAGGCAATTAATGAAAAGCGGAAGTGGATGCTGCGGCGAGTATGACCGGCGAGCTTCTAACCGTTCGCGCGCCGATCTTACGCGCAGAGAATCCACCCGTGACCGCTTTCGAAAGCGTTTTCTGCTCCAACGGGGTGTGGTAGGAAGCTCCTCGCTCGGGTTGCCTGTTCGGTTAACGAAGCAATGTTAGACAAGGTTCTAGCGATGCCTACGGGGAGAGCGTTAGTTGGGCGGAACGGCTCTAAGGGCGTAGCGTTAGTTCGCGATGGTGGAGCAACGTTAAGCCAAAGGTTTGTTAGATATCGTACTAGACGCATGGGGTGGGTGTTACGAAAAGGTGCTACGGTTTGTGATGTACTTCTCCGTGTCTCTGGCCTCCATGCTGGACGCTGATGGGAGAGTATGGCGAGAACCGCGAGCCAAGATCGAGCGAAACGATGTCACCGCTCGTCCGTGGCAGACTGGCGAACGAAATGATGCGTAGACCACCAAGTAGCTAGCCTAACAATATCATTTATGGCTAGTTACGCAACCGCCTTGCGCCTCTGGTACTTTCTCCCGGCGCGTGCCGGCGGAAATATTGTCCTCGATTGACCGGGTGGTTCCAGATTGGCGGGAAAGGGAAAAACTCGTTCCGCGATTGAAATTGATCGCCGAGCGTTCCGCAGGTATGTACCTAAGAATGCTCACGGGTATCCTTACCGACTCTATCATCGAGCTACGTTCTCTACCGCTTTTTCCCCCGCGGACGTTCAATTTTCTCTGCTGCTTTGACGCCACGTAATCACGCGTTTCTTCGTTTCTAAATAAACACAATACACGCTCTTGGAACACTCGAGAAAGGCTAGAAATCGCACAGTGCGCTATCGTATCGTCGCATCCTGTGCGCAACTGGGACGCGAACGGAACAAGAGCACCGCAGGAAGAGACAATGGACAGGTCTAGAGCAATTAGAGAACGATAAATCGCGCGGTCTAACCGTGTCATCGATTCGTAAACGACCATTCGAGGAAGACAATTAAATCCCAACGCTAATGGAGCTCGTTTGACGATGCCTGGCTAAGAATCCCGCGGTCACACCCACGCGAAACGTCACTCGACGACCAATAAAGGACCTCTGCGCTAGCGGAGACCTCTTTGGTCTCTTCGCGGCTCTTGCCCGCGGTGAGGAATGAAAAAGGGAAAACTCCTTGACACCGTTTAGCCACGGAGGAGGGCAGAGATTTTCTGAAACGATTGGAAATTCGCTCGACTCCATCGCGATTTCCAGCGATCTGTCTACCAAGGCGAGTTCATCGGAGGCTCGGCGCAATTGATAATCCTGCGTGGTCGAGGTGTTCGGTGAAAGTGCCAGTCACAGGTTCGCGCATGGGGCAACCTGTATGAAATATCGACGTCGCGTATCGTCCGGGACGATCGGTTAACATTTATGTAACGATAATGAGAGGAAACGGCGCGGATAGCTGAGAGAGCATGCAAATGATAGTTTCTGCGCTATGGAAATTACAGGATTTTACACGGTCGCATCAGCCCAACGTCGCTTACCATGTATGCTTAAGTAATAGCTTGGGAAAGCGAGATGCAGGTTAAAAATGGTCCCCCCTGCACGTTAATCGCGGATAAAACGCGAGAGTCTTTCTACGATTCGAGGCTATTACCAAGGTTACCCTGGCAATGATAAGTGCATGGATTTTGCACTTATCCTGGGTACACCTTCCTCGCGATGTGAACCGGGCCCGCAAATAGCCCCCTCTGTTCGCACAACTCGCGCACACGGATCTCCTTGATAACCAGTTTCCAAAGAGTCGCCAATTACCTGAATTACGATAATAATACTCACTTTTTCTCCTCGTCTCCGTTCTCAGAGCACGGGGTCGTCGGTTCCTCGAGGGAGAGCCGACGCCTGGGTCGCGGCTGCAAGGTCGCTTCCACCCTGAACAGGCCGGTAACGTAGTCGGTAGGCTTTTTGTGCTCCGGCGCTGGAACTGATAAAGATAAATCGTTACACTGGTTGATCCCTTCGCTGCTCAAAGTGCCTGTAAGCGGCGAGGTATCCACGTGGAAGCCGCGACACGCGTGCATTCCGACGTAACGACGCGTAATTGAATAACACGGTTGACTGGTCGATTGGTTTGACGCTTATTAAAATAAAGGGTCGTCGGCCTAGGCCAGCGGACTCCACCTCGTCGCGGATGACGCACCAACGCGTCAACGTACGCGTGGCACGCTCGGCTAGCCGTGTATCTTATCTGCGCGCCCGCGAGCGTTGCCAACCTGCGAGTAATAAAAGTCCCTGACGAGGCAGATCCAAGTGAACGATGACATTAGCCGGTTTAAATCTACTCGCTCTGCCGATAAGCTGCCAGCAGAACAGGAAAACTGATCTAATATCGGTGTCTGCTTGGCCTCCATTAGACGTAATCGCCTCGAACACGAGTATTCCTGGATTATGCTACATCGGGGATCGAAGTCCGAGCGCGAGAAGCGTGGCAGGAAATTGATATGGAACCTGATTGAATAATTTGTATCGAGTCATCGGCTAACGGGATCCTTTGAAACTTTCTCGGTCGTAGAGGCATCTAACGAGAAAACGCAGCGGGACTCACCTAGAAGTGGCACCAGCTTATCGTTCGGACTGAGCTGACTAGCCAAGTCCCTGCCAAGTTCCTCGCATTCGATCTCTTCTGGCAGTTTCTTCCTACAGAGCGGGATTTCCTGAGTCTTGACCGGTGTCTCGGTCTCCGCCGGCTCCAGGATGTCGGTCTGCGAGGCTGCGTCACTGGTAGCCGTGTTCACTCGAAGCACAACCTCCGTGCGTTGCATCAAAGTCAGCCCCTCTATGCCAGGCTGAGGGGACACGCACGGTGAAGCTAGAGGTGACGATCTGTCCTCTTCGACCGGCGAATTCCTCGGCGAAGACGAGGGTGAAGCTTTAGACACGCTCGAGATCGAGGACGTCGAGGACCTGCCTCCTGATCTAGACTTGCTCGACGAGGACGATCTGTCTACCCGTAGCTCTATCTCGTTCGTTTGGTTCGAACGAACGGGCGAGTTGGATCTATTGTTGGAGGAACTGGTGTTGTCCGTTTGGGTGGGACTGGAGACTTTCCTATTGTTAGGGGAGGAGTTCTCGCTCTTGGAGAAGCTATTCGACAAGTTTCGAGGAGAAACGCGAGGATCCGACGATCTACCAGAGGAGGAACTAGAACAGCTTCCGGACCGTCTGGGTATGGCGCCTCTAGAACTGTCACCTTCGATCTGGTCCGGTGATCTCGGTGGCGAACTGGTCGGTGGTGGAGGTCTGTCTGAAATAGGCGACGCCTCGATGGAACTCTGTACCTCGTGACCTCGGGGCCAGCAACTGTCCGTCGTGATCGTCATCGTCGTGGACGCTGACGACGTCGTGATGCAGGTGGTGATCGTGCTGGTCGACGTGGACGTTGCGTTCGTTCGCTTCTCGTTACGCCGGTTCGGCAGCTCGATGTTC